CTTCCCAATGAGGAAATTTTTTTCTAGCTCAGTTTCTTCCTCTCAGCCCAGCTGACTGCTTATCATTTTTTTCACAAAAGGAAAATTAGAATAATTAAAGTAGTAAATAAATCACCTATCAGTTTAGTTCCCTTTTTTCTTTTTATCACACATTTCAAATGTCTATCCCTTTAAAAAAACAAAAATAAAAAATGTAAGTCACTATTCAGATATATACTGTAAATCATCCTAGTTAAAAATACCTAGTAAAAGTGGGTATTTTCTAAAAGAGTCATCTTCAAAATTATAAATTTGAATAGACTTTTTTATTAAAAAATTAATTTTCTCTGCATGATACCCACTTGAGTAAAAGAGGCAAAGAAGAAATTCAAGATCTCTTCAAGAAGCCAGAACTGCTGGCTTCTGTATTTTATATTTTATATATATACTCATATTCTATCTGTTAGACTTGATTCGACTGCTTAAACATAAGACCCCAAAGCAGTAGCTAATACCAGATAAAGAAATGGGTTTTTTCACACCTACAATCATCTAGACATAATTAGTCCATGGTAGTGCCACCCTAGAGAAAGAGAACACCTCCATGTCTTCAGGAACCTAGACTCTCCTTGCTTTTGCACCTATTCTTTTGATCACATGTTTCGGTCAGGTCACCTTATCATTAAGGAAGGCAGCTGAAGTTCCAGGCAACAAGGAAGAGGCCAGCCTATATTCCATTTCTATTTTGTTGAACAGAAATATGCCACATAATGCACTCTTTTACAAGAGAAGTTGTGACACTTGTTTTTTCTAACTGGGCAGTTTAGAATTAGTATAGAATTGAAATTAGGCAGGAAGGCTAGGGCAAAAAAGACAATATTAAGCATACATCTAGCACGCTCTGCCACCAATATATTGAACATAAAATAACAACATATAACATTACATAAAGAAAACAAACTTACATATATCATTTTACAGAGTTGAGATGTAATAACCCCCCACGATAATGGCATAAAGTTTAAACATTAAATCCCTTAATATACAATCTAATATTTTAGAGGGTTCTGGATCCAATTGCATTGTATCCAATTTTGTGTTGAGTGGTACATTATTTTAGGGCCTTTGCATATTTAAAATTGTGTGGTCTTTCAAATCATAATTTGAAGACTCTACGCTGCTTTTAATATTAAATATTTTTATTTTGTCATTGGTATTCTATGCCAGGAATGGGAAATTCAAGAGGAGTAGTCTCTCATTTCATTCATCATCAAAAGGAATATTTCAATAGCGTTTTTCCAAGACAGTTCAGAGGGTTAGGAAAGAAGGGGAGGGATGGAAGCAGGGAGCACCGGGAGTAAGTGGAGAACGGGATGGTGCATGGAGAACATTGCCATGATGAACTGAATCCAAATATCTAGGAATTATCGAATGGAAAGCTATGACCTATTGTAAACCCTCACCTGATTCACAATAAAAAGTTTAAAAAGAAAGTAAATATAGCAATGGAATTCCCCTTTATGGAGTTGATACTCATCTTAAGCAAATATTCAGATTAGCTTAAATATTAATAAAGATGGTCAGTAGCAGGACTTTGAAAGATAAAACCATTAATAATCAAAAAATGGAAGCTAACTTATGAAGACTAAGATTTTAGTCACAGCTTATGAATATCTAGGAAGAAGAAACATGCATTTTTCTCTCCAATCCATAAACAGAGAAAAAAATGTCTCATCTGGTACTTGAAATATGAATACTTGGAACAAAAGAGAGAAGAATTACTTTAATGTGTCCACTTAAAGCGTATGCAATTTTTGCTATCAGAACAAAGACAGAAAAACAAACAAAATATTCAAGAAAGATTTTAGTCAAATATTGAAAAATCAAACTTAGGGGACCTTCTTTTCTGTAAAATACTAAATGACAAAAACCCAGTCCTGGCTCTGATTTCATGGCTTCATTCCTGGAAGCTTTTGAATGACGGGAGCATATGGTGGGATGGAGGTGCGGAACAGGAAATAGTCTGGTCAGATTAAGGCTACTTGTCATTTTCTTCCTCCTGCCCCTTAGTTTGAAAGTCAAGTTCCCTATGATTAGGCCATGTATACTCCAAAGGAGAGCTTAATATTACGACCCTGGGAGGGGCCGGGTGGAGGTGAGGTGGGGAATAGGAATGTTGCACATGGGGGAATTGGAGAAGAAAGAAGGTCTTGTTCTTCAAACTTCTGGAGAGTACAATAGAGAAGTCCTGAGAACTGAGATCCCAAGTCAAATGGGAAAAGAGGAAACAGGAAAAAGGAAGTGAAATGTAAAGTGAAAGATACAGTGGAAGAGAGCTTGAAAGATTCGCAAAGAGAATCTCCTCTTTCTTCTGGCATTTCCTACCTCAGTAGGAGAGAGGACACACACTGAGAGAATCACAGAAGAAAAGATTTGCACCTTTATTACAACCAGAAGCAAAAGAGAATCTAACCCCAACGCCACTGATCTCCTTCTTCTCTCCTCAAAGGTAAGCAGACTGATGCCCCAGTGCCAGTTACGCTTCGTGGGGCAAATAGTGAAAATTTATGGGGAGGAAGGTGTAACGTAAATTCTTTTAAAGGAGTTCTGCACTACATAGAGAGTCCAGCCACCTTTAGAGAAGATTAGGAATCAGGAGCTAAATACGAGCTATTCAAGACTGAGGAACATGCAGAGTAAGACTTACCAGAATTTACCCTTTCAAATGAGCCACTGTCATTTGTAGACAATGTAAGTGGTGCTTCATTAGTAATGTTGGTCATTCCTGGGTCCAAAGGACCATCTGGCCCTTTATCCTACTCCACAATTCAGGATTATTCAATATTCCTAGAATCTCAAAGTAGAATATCTCTTTGTTCTGGAATCCCATAACTAATCCAACAGTTGAAATGTCCCTAGACATCAGAATTTAGGAGGAAATTCAAGCATAGCACAGCATACCATTTGCATGGCCAGAGCCTGCAGGGGGCTCACGATATAGTCCTTCAATTCAGGAACAGGAACGGGAATAGCAATATCAAAAGGGTAGGGGGAAGGGGGGGAACGGTGGTGGGGAAGGGGGTACCAATCGTAATAAATGGCACATAACTGCACACACCCCTCCAGGGGGATGAACAACAGAAACCAGAGGGGAAGGAAGTGAAAACAATAACAGTCTATAATCTAGCAAGGGGTCACTGTGGGGAGGGGGCGTGGGGAGGGAAGCACAATTGCTCCCAAGGGCTCAATAGAAAATAAACGTCTAGAAAAGAATGATGGCAATATATGTACTAATATGTATGATACGATTGATGTATTGATTGTAACAAGAGTTGTAAGAGCCTCCAATTAAATTATCAATTAAAAAAATATATAGTCCTTCAAAAAATCAAGGGACTAACCCCTGGAAATGGAATGATGTGGTATCCTGAGGTGGTGCAGTTAATGTGCTCAGTTGCTACGCAAAAGGTTGATAGTTTGAGCTTAGCTAGTAGCTGCTCAACAGAAAGGGACCTGGCAATGTATTTCCAAAATACCAGCCACATGGAACCCTATGGAGCCCAGTTCTGCTTCGGCACTGGGTGGGTCACCATGTACTCAAAAGTCAATGGCTTGATCAGCGGGTGTATTGAGTCAAGGCCATAATGAGGCTGATGGGTTTACAAGATTGAGTCATGTAGACAATGCCTCCCCAGGCCCTTCTCCTCAGACCTCTGCTCCTCACTGAAGTCTGAGACATAGATGAACTAGGAAGCTCTAGCAGTTGCAGGCTTGTCTCTTAAGGGAAAACAGCTTTGGTACTTCCAACACCATCTTCATAGTGATCACCCAGATGTGCTATCCTCGTGGTGAACTCAAGGGGGAAACATAAAGCAGATCAGTGGTCAACTAGGAGACTCACTGTGCAAACTCATGCCAATAGAGATCCAGTGGGGACACACCGTCTTTAATACTAAATCCTTCTCTAACTTACTGAGTTACTGAATAAGTCCAAGCCCTCCCCTGAGAGCAATGCCTGTCACTTATGGTTAACTGGCACCTATCTCTCTGCCCTCAGCCTGGGGATAGTACAGTGCCGGAGAGCATTTTGTTCTACCTTGTGGAGGGTCATCACATATTGGGAGCATCTAACAACATAATCAGGAGTTACCAATCAGGACTCCTGCCTCTTCCCATCTTTTCAGGCATTTAAATAGTGGATATGTGGTTATTGCCTAATTTATAAAGGAGAATCAATCAGAGGCCTTACCAAGGATAGGAACCAAAAACCAGCGAGGAGAGGATAATGCAACCTCCATCCTCCAGCTCTGTTGTTTAACCACAAAAATAGCAAGACGTCCTGTTTCCTTCATTTTCCAACTCTTTCATTTCCCTGCTTTCTTCCTCTACTGTGCACCTTTTTCTCTGAAATAACTTTCAGGTCAGGAATCTCTTTATTTTCCATAAACTCCGTGGTAGAAGTTCTCTTGAGGCTTTCCCTTGTCCTGCCTGAAAATGACTACTATGGAAAGAAAACCAAGCTCGAGGCAAGAGCACTTGAACGGTTGCCCAGTTCTGTCATTGTCTGCTTCAAGGGCCTCAGTCCCTTGGTCTCTGACATTCAGGGGCCCCATCATTAAACAAGATATGATGCTGGGCCTGCATATGTCATGTAATGGGGATCAAATGAGCGTATAAGTTAACATCTTTTCATGTGTGCATCATCGCCATGTTTCCCCTCCGTTCCATCCATTCTTTCATAAAGACATGGAGACTTGCTTCATAGTTTTGGAAGTATCCCACTCAGAAACTGAACGCTCCCTCCAAAAGAAACTCAGAAACCTGCCAGAAGGAGGATTGATAAATGTCACCACTGGAATCTATGCCAGCCACAAGCTTTTCTTGTTGGCCTCTTTCTTTTTCCACCTCCACTGGCTCCCTATGTGCAGGGAGACTCGCGGGAGTGGCACCACCTGAGTCCTCTAGTCAGCCAAGGGTCTCTTTGTATCTTTATCACAGAACTGTATATCCAGATGTTGTAGAACACCCCTCAAGGTGCTATATTGGTCAACAGGGCTTGGGTTGGGGTGGTTGACTTTCATGGGACTAACGTCTATCTTATTTCTCCTTCTTCCCTAGAAGAAGTACGAAGGATGAAAAGACCTTTGCTCTCCTTTACCCTCCTCTCTCTCTTGATGAGCTTGGGCTGCGCATGGACTACCCCTGGTTGCACCATAGCAGATAGCTCCCTATTGTCGAACATCTCCTACTACATCCCATTTTGTCCCTTGGCACCAGGACTGCAGTTTTTTGCATCATGCTCCCATGTAAATGACCTGGCTCAGACCCTGGCAGTGCTACCCAGTAGATTAGAGGCACTGTGCCTCCAGGGCACGGTTCAGGTCCTATCAGCTAATGCTTTTGGCCGCTTCCCCATCCTAAAGCTACTGAGACTACAACTAGGCCCCATCAGGGTAACATCTGGAGCATTTCAAGGAGTGACCCAGCTGCAGCACCTTTTCTTTGAGCACCCTGCTCCCTGTTGCCTAAGTCTATTCCTCCCTGCAGATGCCCTCCAGCCCTTTGGACTCCTCAGAAGCCTTTCATTCGAAGGTTATTGCCTGAATTCTAGCCACAGCATCCAGTTGCCACTCAGTCTGAGCCATCTGACCATGCGGCACAGTTGTATGACAGACCTGCAAGAACTGAAAGAATTATTCCCAAGCCTTGTGCCTGATTCCTCTCCAATAGGCAGCTCTAGTTCATGGTCTCCCTTCCTGGAAGTGCTGGACCTCTCTGCCAACCTACAGCTGAGGCAAGTTGATGCCAGAGCCTTGCAAGGCCTCCAACTACATTCTCTGAGACTAGAGAGCACCCCACTAAATGCAGGAGAGCTCCTAGGCACAGGCTTGCTTCACTTGGATTCCCTCTCCCTTGTGGATACAGGTATCAAAAAGCTGCCCAGGGATGTGACAGCAAACTTTGAGCTTTGTGCACTTGACCTTGGGAGGAACCAAATCCAGAGCATAGAGGACGATGACCTCCCAGGATGCCACTCCCTAGAACACCTCAACCTCCATGCCAACAGCCTGCATGCACTGCCCACCAGGTTCTTCAGCGCCTTGCCCCAACTTCAGAGACTTAACCTGTCCATGAATCAGCTGGGCCCAACCTTAGTGCTTCCAGCGGGGCCGGTCAGCTCAAACCTGAGCATGCTAGATCTCTCCCTCAATGGGCTCCGTGCTCTGCCCGCAAGGGCCTTCTTCTCTCTTCCTCAACTCCAGGAGCTCTGGCTGGGTGGTAACAACATCTCCCACCTATCCAGTGAGATGCTCGGGGGGTTGAGGTGGCTAAAGACCCTAGATCTGAACTGGAACCAAATTAAAGTGCTGGAGCCAGGCTGGCTCGCCTCTCTTCCTGCTCTCACCTCCCTGACCCTCCTGGGCACCCATATCGAGAATTTCTCTGGCCGGCTGCTCCAGGGTCCCCAGCAGCTGAGCCATCTACAGCTGGGTGCTTGGGAATTCCTCACACTCTACAACCCTTGGCCTTCGACTCTTCTCAGCTTAGAGCTAAGGGCAGAAATAGTGGAGTTTAAATTCTCCCTTAGAGAAGCCTTCCTGTCCTTGGAGAACCTGGCCTTACAAGCTTACTGGGTGTTGCCACCTCCAACCAACACCACATTTCATTTCCCTTCCCTTCGTCACTTCACCCTGAGAGGCTGCCCCTCTATTTTCTCTAGCCATCACACCTACGGCTTATTCCCACAACTTCCTCTCCTGGAGCACCTGCACTTCTGGTCTGATCCTCAGGAAATAGAACATGTACAACTGTCGGGACTGCCCAGGCTGCGGGTGCTAGAGCTGGGAGATGTGACTGGCTTCTATCCATCAAACCAAATGAAACTGGAGGAGATCCTGATGGAGGTACCTCAATTAGAGGTGTTGGCTTTGAGCAACGTGAACTTGGAGGACCTATCTGTCTCCAGCTTCAGAGACCTTCGCTTCCTCCGGTTGCTGCTGCTGAACTCGGAAAGGGTTCTGGGCCTAAACCGTAGCCTCCAGGAACTCATACCCCAGATGCCTCAGTATGTTTATTTCTCCGATGTCATCTTCAAGTGTCAGTGTGAAAACTCTTGGGTAGAACCTTGGGCGGCACGGACCCCAAACACCTTTGTGTATGGGCTAGAGAATTCCATCTGCATGGTTAATGGCTCTGACCGCTCCAAGACTCCATTTCTCTCTTTCCTTTCTGCTTACTGCCTAGATGATCTTGAGTTTCAGAGCTTTCTAACCAGCTTCACTCTGGTGCTTCTGCTGACCAGTTTTGCTCTGTTAGGCGGCCCTAACTGGCCCTGGCTCCACCATCTCTGGGCCCTATGCCGTGCCTGGTGGTTGAAGATGGGTGGCTGGCACCACCGAAGCCATTATGTCTATGATGTTTTTATATCCTACTGCGGGCAGGACCAAGCCTGGGTGCTGGCAGAGTTGATTCCTGCCCTGGAAAAGCCTTTTCCAGATGGTGAGGGCTTGAGGCTATGTCTGCCAGAGAGGGACTTTGGGGTTGGGCAGGACCGGATAGACGCAATGGCTTCCAGTATGGAGAGCAGTAGGGCCACCCTTTGTGTGCTCAGCCGCCATGCCCTGGGCAGTCCCTGGAGCAATCTAGAGTTAAGGCTGGCCACCTACCACATGGTGGCCAAGCCCGGAACTGCTCGACTCCTGCTGCTCTTTCTGGAGCCTATTGATCGGCGGCAGCTATGTGGCTACCATCGCCTTGCTCGGTGGCTTCAGCAGGAGGATTACTTGGATTTTCCCAAAAGGAGTGTCGACTGGGAGGCTTTCTGGAGCAAACTTCGGAAAAGGCTAAGGAAAGCTGTACAAGAAAGAGAGGCTTAGGGGCTGTAAAAGACCTTCTGCCACATGGGAGTAGGGCTCAACAGATCCCTCGGTCACCTTGCATCACGGCAGGACAGATTCACAGAGGGTTTAATCGGCAGTTCTTAGCTCAAGCCCAGTTGCTCACTAAGAACAATACAAAGGGTGAAATCAAATCCCCACAGGATAATATGTTTAAAAGCACTTTGAGGCAAATAAGGTTGCCATTCCAAATAATAGCTCTACTACCTGTTAGATCACAGGAAAGTTCTAAGGAAATAAAGACAAAACTAAACTTTCTAGAATTGCAACTGGACTTTTCAAAGTGAATTTGTTCTGCCTCTGTTGAAAGCAATGTGTTTATTTGGACTTGGTAAATAATCTACTCTATTCTGGAAGAAAGGGGCCCTATTTGTTAGGTCCCTGAAGTTGGGTTGAAACTAAACATGCAATTCACCAACTGCTCAACAAATTTAAAGAACTTTGCCAATTTGTGGCATTTTCACAGTATTAGGTGGGTGGAACAATACTTTGATCCCATATTGCATGTAGGGGATCCAAGCATATAAAGGTCAAGTGATTTACCAAGATGCAAAGGCAGTATGTCACAAAGTTCAAATGTGGACTCAATTCCTGTGACTCAGAATCCAGTGTTCTACAACTACTACCCTACTGATGTCTAGTCATCTCTAGCCAATGACAGCTTTAACATTCTCTAAAGTTAAAACCAGTAAACACATGACAAATATCTTATTAATATACCCAAATAAGATCTATTTTCAAGAACTGTTTCTAAAGAAAAAAATCACGAATTCCCATAAGTTTACATAAAAATTCTTAAGTTCCCCCACCTAGATGAATGATAGGACAAGAAAGGCTACACTCATAAGTATGGATATCATGAAGCCATGAGACATCATGAGACAAGGAAGAGTTAATGCTCAAGATATATTATTGAAAAAAGACTCAGGATATACTATTAAATAAAAATATTTACAAGCTGTATGTACAATGGTTGTAATCTTTAAGAGAAAATTACCTATGTATCGAACAGATAAAATATGTAGAAAGAAGACTCGTAATGTAAACTAGAAATCACCTTAGAAATGTGATTATCAGGAACAACAAGGATCTAAAACGGAGAGCGAGAATGTCTGGTTCAGTTCGATCGAGGGCAATGTAGCCGAGAGGAACGATGGAGAGCCGAATGAAGGCCAAACATGAGAGTAGGACAGGAGGAAATTAAAAGAAAATAGAGGAAAGAACTAAGAGGCCAACAACATTTATAAAGGTATAAATATAGGCATGTACATATGTATATATATTAAGATATAACAATAGGGATATATACTATGCACATATATTTACATGTTAAGTATTAAGGAAGCAGACAGATATTGGGCCCCTACTCACGGCTGATGCTGCCTGGCTATTCCAAGAGATAGCATCTTGGGTCTTAAAAGCTTGAACTTAAACAAGCTTCCATCTAGCAGGGAAGCAACAAAGCCCACATGGAAGAAACATACAAACCTGTGCAACCACAAGGTGCTGACAGGATCAGGTATCAGGCATCAGAAGACCCAAAACAATCACATCAATGGGAACAGGTCAGGGTGGAGACCCAAAGCCCATCTGTAGACTATTGGACATGCCTTTGCAGAAGGGTCACAAGGAGGGACGAGCCAGCCAGGGTGCAAGATAGCACCAATGAAACACACAACATTCCTCCAGTTCTTTAATGCTTCCTTCCACCCCCGACCCCACCCCCACTAGCATAGCCCCAATTCTACCTTACAAACCCGGCTAGACCAGAACATGTACACTGGTAAAGATAAGAGCTCTCAATACATGGAATACAGGACAGATAAACCCCTTAGGAACAGAAATGAGAGTAGGCATACCATCAGGGTAGGGGGAAGGTGGAGGCAGAAACGGGGAACTGATCACAAACAATCGATGTATAATCCCCACCCCACCCCCATCCAGGGAGACAAATAACAGAAATATGAGGGAAGGGAGACAGCAGACTGTGTAAGATATGAAAATTATAATTTATCAAGAGGAGTGGGGGGTAGGGAATAAAGAGGAGCTGATACCAAGGGCTCAAGTAGAAAGAAAATGTTTTGAAAAAGACAATGGCAACATATGCACAAACGTCCTTGATACAAGTGATGTATGGATTGTTATAATATCTGTAAGAGCCCCAATAAAGTGATTTATATAAAAAAGAAAGGAATGTGATTGTATATTATTTAAATTTCTTAAACATGTTTATTTTCTAATAATAAAATAAGATGGGTGTTTCTTTAAACATAATTTAACTCATTTTCTTTAAATGAATTACTTTAAATAATTCTCGGCTTTCAAACTATGACTGCTAAAATGCGAAAAAACACAGTAAAAGAACGAAAAGCTACCTTACACAAACTGTATCCACTTCAGAGACCCCCTATAGAACCATCCCTAACCAAACTGAAGAGCAATTCAAATTTTGCCTCAGAAGTAGTAACCTTCCACATTCATCCTTTCTGAACAAAAGACCAATTTATTCAATTAGTATATAGTAGCTCTAGAAAACGCTTACACAGCCTTGACAAGAGTGAAGGCAATTTGATCTGACAGAGCCATTATGAACTATAAATGAACTAGCTATGAACTAGCTGATGTTAGGGAGGCAGGCTGTGCAGACTAGCGCAATGGAATGTACTGAAGGAAATATATGTTCAGAAGGCTTGAAAGAGCGACCAGAGCAATTATTGTTCAACTAAGAGCAGTTAGTGTTTGACTAAGAATGGCTAACCACAATATCCTGCTTCTGTACTCTGCTTGCTTGCGAACCTGCACATGGCAACAGTATAAAAACCTTTGGAATATTAAACTTGGGGCTGCTCAGTCTCCTCTCAAGAGGGCTGACGGTCCCTGCGCAGGAAATAAAACTGGTTCTTCTGAACTTGTCGGCGGTCTGGGTTGTTTTCTTTCTGGGAACGGACAGTAGGCTATAACAAGTATAGTGAGCTAGTTTTATAATTCTGAGATTTTACTGGCCAGACCACAATTGAGCCTTTGGTTTCCGTGGTCCCTTTGTCTTTATGTCAACTAGTGGCCCATGGAAAATACCCATTTTACCCATTTTAATGAAAATGTTCACTTCATTTTCCTCAATATGGTCCAAAGCATTCTTGTATATAATTCAGCTTCCCCAGAGAGCTTTTTCACTTCCTCTTCATACTTCTTGGATGTACAAGGGTGCTTCAAAAAGTTTGTGTAAATATTTATTTTCTTTATTTTTAATCATTTTATTGGGAGATTGTACAGATATTATAACAATCCATAATTCAGTTAGCTCAAACGTAATTTTACAATTGCTACCACCATCAGCTTCAAAACATTTTCTTTCTTCTTGAACAATTTGATATCAGCTCCCAGTTATCCCTTCCCTCGCCCACCCTATCTCCCCAGTCTTTTAATCGCATTCTTCCACAAATATATCTTGGAATGACAGTGTGGAAAGAAATGCATATCTGATGTTTGCATCCCTTCTCCCAGCCCCACATCTCTGTCTGATCAAATTCAGGATAGAAAGTATCTCCCTTCAATTCACCACTACAGGTTTCTCTGCTAGAAAATTATTCTATATTTATATATATATAAATATAGAATAAATTATATATTTATATTTATATATAATACAGCATACTTGAGGCTGGTTTATATATATAAAAGGTCTTCTTATCATTCCCCCCTCCTTTTCCTAATTTTGTACTTTGAGGTTTAAATGGGACAAATTCAATTCCTACCCACATAATCACCCTTCATTTGTTCCAATAGAGTCTTCTCTTCTCCAACTTACAGGTCTCATTTCTTCTATTCATTTCAGTACTTTAAATCTTCTTTAAGTTGCTCTACCCCAAGTTCATTGTATTTTTCTTTTTTACTTATGAAGTTATGCAAACCCAAACTACCGGTTGCTTCTAAAGTGGAGCCATGTGGAATAGAGCAGTATCATCTCCCTTTTCCTAAAATCACATTATTGGTTGAGGCAATCATACTGTTGATTTACGTGCTTAATTTCCTTTTCTCTGGCTGACTTGGGATGAGAAGGACAAATTCATGAAACAAATGGGACAGTGGTTTTCAGTCAAGCATTAGTATAACAATAGGTACTGATCCAAAAACAAAAAAAAGCAAACTACAGCACACTTGAGGCTGGTTTACATGTAGACTATGGCTAGAAGGAACTAGATGGAGTAAGCCTCTGAATAGTTCTGCAAATTATTTCCAAAAGCTGGCCTCTGGTTACCAAAACATGAGGGGCAAGGGAGGGAAGATGAAGCAAGAGTCTAGAAGGTTGGTAGGTAGGAACTTGGTTAAAGGGAAGATAGTAATCAAGAAGGGGAAGTTCTTGGAGGGGGAGGGGTTTAAACGTCGTTTAAATTGTGGAATACAAAATTGATGATCTGAAATGTAAACCCCATTCTAATTCACAATTTTTAAATTGTGAACTTTAAAAAAGGTAGCCTCTGTTTTTTAAAAAGAGGTAGCCTCTCTTTTTATATGATTTGGCTTTGTCGAACCCCTTGGTCTTAGATTTTCACTTCTAAATCAAAGCTTTTCTCTTTTTTGGGAAAACATAGCTGTCTAAAAAGAAGAGAAAGGTGTTTCTGACCTGAGGTCTAACGACAGCTTATTCTTCACCTTACCCACTGGCCTAATCATCTTTGCCTTTTCCCCTAGAGGTGGAAACAATTTACAGCTCAGTAAAAGAACTGCTTTCTGAGATCTAGCCAAAACTTTCTCACTATTATCACTAGATGAGGCCACTGGGAGACATTGGGTAATCCAAGAGGATCAGAAACAAATTTAGTCACAAGTACAATAAAAAGTGCACAGAGGAGCAGAAGCCAGATGTCAGAACAGCATGCTCTGATTCTTCAAAGAAGGGCTGCGAAGGACAGATCTGTCAGGGCTCAGAAACTGTCTACTGTATCCTCTCCTTTACAAGCAGGAGAGACATCAGTGCCCTTTACATCTGCATATCATCACCTTGGCAGTCTATTTTAGCAACACAGTCACTGCCTGGGCTCCAAATAACTGCCATAAGGTCACCTTCAACACGGTCTCCTATTAGATGTCTCCCAAGAAGCTTAATGGTAAGCACCACTGTTCTTGACTTTGGTGCGCACATCCTACTGCTGATGAAGAGGTCTAAGGAGACCCAGGCTGACTTGCATACTCCAAGAGAAAGCGGCCTAAATTTGAAAATCTCCCCCTACCAAATTCGAGAATTCTCGCCAGCAACTTCAGGTAAAGTCCACCTTATAACGTCGTTCTTCCTGTCCCCAGAGCTTGCCTTTGATTTTCCCGACATGAAAGTGTTAATGAGAATGGCCTGGTCAAAGCGGCAGTTGGTTGGATTCCCAACTATAGAACATAGCCACTAGCATTGGCTACATGTATTTTACTTACAAGCATGGGAGTTAAAATATTTAATAAAATATTCCAGTTACAGGGAGGGGTTAGCTGAACCACAAAAGTCATAAGGGCTGGGAATAAATGTATTTTCTATTTGAGCCCATGGTATCTGCTCCACTTTTTTCCCTCCCCCCCACCCCAACCCTACTGATTCCTTGGTAAATTATGAATTATTATTATTTTAAAGCAAACTTTCTAATTAAATAATAAAATTAATTATCTAATTGTGTCTAATGATAGAATATTGCCAGTGTTATAAAATGCATTCAATTAAAAAATAACTATTAAAGTTATGGACAATCGATATGAAGAAATACCTGAAGAGAAAACAAGGAAGGATATAGCACACAGAGAGCAGCAGAGTGAGAGAGGGATCAATTATGACTCAGAGACCATGAGGCCGTGAGAAAGCACAGTGCCCAAAGGGGGACACATGGAAGAGATCCAGAGAGAGATGGCTCTGGAGAGGCTGTCTTCCCATACCCACGCAAACAAAGTCCTTGTTGTATTACTTTTAACAAACTTGAGAAGCCAGTCTTTGGTGAGGTTTTGTTCTTCTCTCATTCTTTCTTTGGTCCTGAATACATGTGACTGTTTTCATGAGTTATTCTAAGGACGCATCCATTTACTGGGACAAGAACTGTTAAGAACACCTACAATGCACCAGACACTGTCCTTGCTTCTGGGGATACACACAGGTGAGCAAAACAAAGCACTCATCCTACAGGGAGGTGGGTAACACAGAAAATGCATAATAAGTATGCAAGGAGTCATCAAAAAGTTCATGGGAAAATAGGATTAAAAGGTAATGAAAGTTTTCCACAAACTTTTTGAAGCCCCCTCTTATAATACAAAAACAGGCAATGATATGTGCTTTAAACATAGATAAAGCCAGATTGGGGGTGGAGCTTTAAGAGGAGGACTAAATTACTGACCAGGGCTTCCAACTTACTTGAACTGGTATAGTCTTGGCCTTAAAGGACAAACTGAGACACACCCAATTTTTATTATTATTATTATTTGCATGGACATGAAAGATAACTTGAATGAGAAAAAAAATACAAGTAAAATCTCTGGAAGGGAAGACTCCAAAGAGACACAGTGAGTCCTCTTAGAATGCTGAGATGCTTCTAGAACACTTAATTATCACCAGGACTGTGGAGAATGATATACATTCAAAGTGGTTTTCCACCTAGGCACTTCCATTTTCGACTAAACCAGTCCAGAGATTTAGTTACTATGCAATGAGTGTGCTGCCCTGCATTTCTAAGAAGGAGATTCCGTTTCTAGCAGGCCTTTGACTTCTACTTTTGCCGTGTCACATTTCTGAAATTCTGCTTCCTTCAAGTGTCATTTCATCTGCCCTACCTAAACTGAGCTGAAGCAGTTTGAAGTCTTGTTACAGACAGCAATTGGGGAAGGCCTCGCTGTCTCTGAACTTTACCAGAATCCTGAAAGAACTTAACAACTGAAGGCACATGCATGTGGGGAGGGACATGGAAGCACTGCAGGCTTTCACATGGGCCACACGTGGCAGGGTCGTGGCTGGAGTGGAGTGAGGGCCTGAAGAGGCGTAGAAAACAAGTGCAGGAAGGAGGGCCTGGCTGCCGTTGTAACCCGCAGCAAGGAATGCGGGTTTTATTTGACGCTTGAAGGGGTCAGATTATTTTTTCATGTGAGTCTAGCTGCTCTGTGGGTCTTAGTCTCTGAACATACAAAAATGGAAGTGGTGGACAATTTAGAAACCCTTTTTCACCATGGAAGACTAGATAGCTGGTGGCAATGGTAAAAGCTGATCCAATTCCGAATATGCTTCACAGGTGAGGTCTAGAGGACTAGTGGATGGTTTGGACAGGAATTATTAAAAGATGTGAGAAGAATGTGGCTAAAGGTGTGGCTTGCGCAACTGAGTAAATGGAGGTCTCGATTCTTGAGATGGAGAACCATGGGGTCAAAAATTCATTCTTGAGCAAATTGGGTTTAAATTCCCTGCTAAATATCAAGTAATGATGTTGAATAATAATAAATTGGACAGAAAAATTCAGGATGCAGAAGCGGCATTTCATGAGAAGAATATTCAAAGAGAACTTAAAAAAAAAAAAAAAAAAGCCAAACTCAGTGGTGTCACCGGGGCTGGTGTCACACACTGCCGTGACTCATTGACCTCATTGACCTCATTGTGACCCTCATTGACCTCGTCCCAAATCCAGGCCACACCAAGCCCTTAGTAAAGTTTAGTATCAATTTTAATTATAGAATAATGTGTGATTAAATATAGTTGTAAATTATGAAAATGTAATGTTTCCCAGATTATATGAAAACAAACAACAAAATGTTTTATAAACTCTTTCTACAGGGAATGGCAATGTTATTAGTTAAACATTCTTCGACTAAAATTTTTTCTCCTTTTCCTTCGCTAATTCTTTCTCAAAAAGCATTATTGCTATCCATTCTCACATACTAGTTGCCACAATATCGTAGCTAAAACAGAAAATGTGACAAAATCAATGATTATAAAAGCGTCAGTATCAACGAAAAAAACAAGAGCATCCAACAAAATCATCTGGTTTGAAGCATCCTGGTATTTGGATGATAACAGCAGATCTGCGTGGAGCACATGGAAAGGTTGGAAAAGTAAATTAACCTAGAGTTTTAGCTTCATAAGTATGTGACATTTCTAAGCTAAACCCACAAAATTGTTTTTGTTGTTATAACTAACTACAGGGATGCTTTTATAAAGAATAATAAAATTCAGCTAGAACACTGAAAAACATTTTTAGGTTGGGTTGGCCAGGAGGAATTGTAGTATAAGTATGTCAGATAATGCAAGTAAAGAGTGAGAATGAATCAATGAATGTCGTTCAAATTTCAGAGGACTTTCCATGACAGAATGCTATGGTTATTTTTACTTTATGAAGTAAAATGTATGTAAATACCACTGTGAGGAACTTTCCTGGCACCTAATGCGTTTCAACGGGGACTACATCTTTCACTTAGGGTCTATTTCTGGTAAGAGAGAACCAAGGTCATTTGCGTTCTGCCCTCATCCATTCATGTCACCTGCATTTTAACATGTTCATTGAAAGGAACTCTGCATGTAGCTTACACCCTTCATGGCATTTTTTTAACCATGACAAGAACCAAGTCAAAAAATAAGGAGCTACATTGGAGAAATGTGCATGTGACATTAAACACTAACAGAAAACCACAGTACATATTATGGCATTTCTTTCATCTTTGAAAATACTCGTATTATTTTATATATAAGTATATAAAGTGGCCTTGCTGTAAGCAACCACTGATGAAAAGTCATGATTCTTATCCCTTTGCTGGTGTTGCCAGTTCTTATGTGGAGAGGAACGCCATCTAAAGGCACGTGTCTGATAATATTAAAGATTACAAGAGTTTATAAAGTAAACCACACCAAACAAACAAAAAAAAACCCTTTCTTTGAGGCCTTATGTTCTTGTGATATTTTATTCTTTATATTTCCCCAGAGTTTGCACTGTATAATTATTTTAAATTACATAAATCCTTACATAAATGTGTTGCAGGTTGATTTTTCTGAACTAGATGGGAAAGCCCTGAAGGGTAAGAGAGTGTGTGTCTTGTTTTATGTGATGCTAGGGACACTGGACAAAGGAAGATAGCTAAGGGCCATAGGGACAATAACAGGCCAAGAAGAAATTTCTAGTAAGTAGCCAGAGGTTCTTGGCTGGTGCCAACAGTTCACCTTAGACTACTAACCTGAAGGTTAGCAATTCAAACCCACCGACTGTACCGGGGGAGAAAGTTCAGTGATCTGCTTCCATGAAGTTTACAGTCAAGAAACTCCTATAGTGCAGTATGACTCTCATACCGGGACAACAGGAACCAATACCCACAGTTCTTCCCAAGAACACCCTGGGCCCAAAAAAAAAAAAAAAGACCGAAAAGCTTCTAGTAATCTAAAACTATGCTATGAACCCAGTTTTGAGAAATTTAGAGGCCATCTTCATCAGAAATGTTCTGTAGTTGTTTATAAAATGTCCGTGTCTGATTATTGCAGTTGGGGAGGAGGAAAATGCAAAGCTCGAGAGGCACTAATCTCTCCGACGCCGTGAGTGGGTTCATTCTTCTTGGCTTCCCTTGCACCTCAGAGATCCAGATCTTCCTCTTCACACTCTTCTCTGTGACTTACGTCCTGACACTGGTTGGAAATGTGTGCATTCTGTGTGCTGTCAGGTGGGACCACCATCTTCACAGCCCCATGTACATCTTGCTGGCCAACTTCTCCTTTCTGGAGATCTGGTATGTCACCTCCACAGTCCCCAATATGCTAGCCAACTTTCTCTCCGAGACCAAAACCATCTCTTTTTCTGGCTGCTTCCTCCAGTTCTATTTCTTCTTCTCCATGGGCACCACTGAGACCTTTGTCCTGTCTGTCATGGCCTATGACAGGTACCTGGCCATCTGCAGGCCCCTGCACTACCCCTCTGTCATGACAGTCCAACGCTGCATCAGAATGGGAGCCTGCTGCTGGGTATGTGGCTTCTCCTGTTTCCTCTTTCCAGTTTATCTCATCTCCCGGCTGCCTTTTTGTGGGCCCAATACCATTGACCACTTCCTGTGTGACCCAGGGCCCCTGATGAAGCTCTCCTGTGTGCCAGCGCCTGCCACTGAGATCATCTGTGCCGTCTTTAACTCTGTCCTCATTTTCTCCACTTTCCTCTTCATCACCAGCTCCTATACCCTGGTGATCAGAGCTGTACTGAGGGTTCCCTCCGCAGAAGGCCGTCGCAAGGCCTTCTCAACCTGTGGCTCCCACCTGGCCGTGGTAGCCCTGTTCTACGGCTCCATCATGGTGATGTATGTGAGTCCAACATCAGGCAATCCAGCTGGGATACAGAAAATTGTGACTTTGTTTTATTCTGTGTTGACTCCACTTTTCAATCCCTTGATCTACAGTCTCCGGAATAAAGAGATGAAGGAGGCCCTGAGGAAAATATTTAGGACTTTGAGATTTGCTCAGGGACAGCCTCCCAAGAACTAGTATTCATATTTCATGTATGTAAGGGACTTACGTGGATTGTTGTAAACTAACGTCTTGTGATTGTAGTCCGGACTCATAGCAACCCTATAAACAACAAAATGAAACATTTGTCAGGCCTGCGCCATTCTCAGAATCTTGCTATGTTTGAGCCCATTGTTGCAGCCACTGCGTCAGTCCATCTTATTAAGGGTCTTCCTCTCTTTGGCTGACCTTTTGCTTCACCGAGTACGATGTCCTTCTCTGGAAATGTGTCCCTCCTGACAATATGTCCAAAGAAGTGAAACAAAGTCCCCTGTCCTCATTTAAAGGAGCACGATAGTTCGGTGTCTTCCAACACAAGGTTCTTCACCCTGATGGCAGTCCCCAGGAGGCCCCAATCAGAACTCAAAGGCATCAATTCTTGAGTCTTTCTTACTTGTTGGCCAGCTTTCGCAAGCATAGAAGCAATAAAAAATGCCATGGCTTAGGTCAGGTACACCTTGAATCTTCAACACTTAAAAGAGGGATTTTTGCAGCAGATTTGTCCAAGGCAATATGTCAGTTGATGTCTTGGTTGCTACTTCTGTGAGCATTGGATTGTGTGCACAAGTCAAATGAAATCCTTGACAACATCAATCTGGGTTCCATTTACCGTCATCTTTTCAGTGGCGCAACTGTGAAGATGTTTGTCTTCTTGATGTTGAGGTGGTCCCCATCAGTAAGTGCTTCAAATCCTCTTCACTGTCTGTGGAAAAGGGGTGTTACTTGCATATCACGAGAGGTTAAGGAGGCTTTTTTAACTAAGTGAAAAAATTCAACTGGAATGCACACCTTCCTGATTTTTAAGCACATTGTTTCTTTTTGTTCTGTTCAAATTTCTATCTTTTGGTCTATGTATAGATTCCACCTAAACACAGTTGAGTGTTCTGGAATTCCCATCCTTTGAAATATTATTCATAATTTGAAAGCCTTTGCACAGTCAGTAAAATACATATATGTATCTTTGTAGGAGTCTCGGCTTTCAGTCAATATCCGCCTGCCATCAGTGTTGACATTCTTTATCCCACATACTCTTCTGCATCTGTCTTGAACTTCTGCCGGTTCCTTTTCCATGTACTGCTACAATCATTTTTAATTATCTTCAGCAAAATTGTACTTATATATGATATTCACAATGCTGTCAGATAATTTTCATATTTTGTTGGATTACCTTTCTCTAGAATGAGCACAAATACGAATCTCTTTCTCATCTTCCAAATATCTTGGCGTGCATGAGTGAGTGCTTGTAGCAAGGCATCCCTATGTTGAAATATCTTAATTGGTGTTCCGTCAGTTCCTGGAGCCTTGTTTTAAGTCAATGCCATCATTGCAGCATGGCCTTCTTCAGTACCATCGACTCCTAATCATATGCTACCGCTTGAAATGGTTGAATGTTGACCAGTTCTTTTTGACAGAGTAACTGTATTCCTTCCATCTTTTTATGATGTTACCATGTCATTCAATAATAGAGTTCACCAATAATATCCTTCAATATTGAAACTCGAGACCTTAATTTTTTCCAGTACCTTCATTTTAAGAAATGCTGCACGTGTTCTTCACTTGTTTTTCAGTGCTTTGCACATTTTGTATCATATTTTACTCTATCTTCTCAAACTGCCCTTTGAAATCTTCTGTTCAGTTCCATTATTTTATCAGTTCTTCCTTGCACGTTCACTACTTAGTATTCAAGTCTGTATCCCTCTCCTCACCTCCATTTTGGTCTTTTCTTACTCTTCTGTCTTTTTATTTACCTTGCTTTCTCCATGTACAGCTTTGGATGTCATCCCCCAACTCATCTGATCGTCATTATTTTAGCATTCACTGCATCAAACCTATTCTTGAACTACTCTCTGGATTCAGATGGAATATTCTTAAGGTAGTCCTTTCACTCTCCTGACCTTGTTTAAATTTCCTTCAACTTTAACTTGACCTGTATATGAGTAATTTATAGTCCATTTCAAAATCAGCCCCTTGATATTAAATCTCTCCCTCATTTCTTTCTACACATATAGTCAATTTAATACCATTGTATTCCTTCTGGTGAGGTTTCATAAATATATTTGCTATTTATGTTACTGAAAAAATATTGTCTACATATATGTTGTTGGTCTTAAAAGTGTTATCTTGAAAATCCAATATAATTTCTATCACCATGGTCATATTTTCCAAAATATTTCACAGAAAATACCAGACATTCTCAGACATATTCAAGATAAAATCATAACCCAAATGTCAACTGGTTCACGTGTGTGTTTGATGATTTAAATAAATTCCCAGTTTCATGGTCAGTTTCCCAGTCATTAGAAGTCTAGCATTTCCAGCACTATCCCATTACACACACACACACACACACACACACATCACAAAGATGTATCTGTGTACTTCTCTCCTCCCACTCTTCAATCCATCTGCTTTCTTTCTTTTTTTTTATTCCATCAATCTGATGTAAAACCCAACATTTTATCCAAACAACATCTCCTTCCATCTTTGTGGGGGTACATTAGCCTGACAACAGATTGGGATTGCTCTTAGACAGTTTTTAAAGTTACTAGAATCAGTATGATATATTAGAATGATGGGCATATGCAGCGTAACTACACAAATGTAGTATTAGGATAAAGGAAATATTCATAAATGCAAAAAATATGTAATATGCCTCAAAATAAACTCTCCATAAAGATGTAAGCTCTATAGGGAAAAAGAAATAAATATTTTCCTTCAAAATTCTTTAATCAATCAGTAAATTAACATATACTACATTTCTAGGTATGATAAATAAAGGTTATCAATTTACCATTTTATACCAAATAAATTTATAAATGTAATGAAATGATAATAACATCAAAATAAGGTCAATTCAAATGTCCAATGATTTAGAATTAAGTGAATTATGATACACCTAGAGTATGGAGTATTATACAGGCATTGAAAATGTTTTTAAATATATTTGATGGTTTGAGACAATACAAACCTAAGTGTAAATTCAATAGAAAATACATACAAAACAGCTTAAGAGTTAATTTATTAATTAGGAAAATATAGGAAGAAAGTATAACAAAGCTGTGCCATTGCCCTCTGGGTAGTGATTTCTTTTCTACTTTTTAAATATGCTTTGCTAATTTACTGTGCTTAGTATTTTATATTTTCTTATGAAAAAATTATATATTGTAATTATTCGCCCCAAAGTATCAACCTGACAATTTTATAGGAGCCTTGTTTCACCAAAGAACAAAAAGCCATATCATCATGAATGAGGGGGAGTGCGAGGTGGGGACCCAAGGCCCATCTGTAGGCAACTGGACATCCCTTTGCAGAAGGGTAGCAGGGAGGAGACAAATCACTCAGTGTGCAGCGTAGCATTGATGAAACACACAACTTTCCTCTAGTTCTTAAATGCTTCCTCCCCACCCCATCCCCACTATCATGATCCCAATTCTACCTTACAAACCTGTTTAGACCAGAGGATGTACACTGGTACAGATAAGAGCTGGAAACACAGGGAATCCAGGACAGATGAACCCCTCAGGACTAGTGGTGAGAGTGGTGATAACAGGAGGGTGGAGTGAAGGTGGGGTAGAAAGGGGGAACCGATTACAAGGATCCACATATAACCTCCTCCCTGGGGGATAGACAATAAAAAAGTTGGTGAAGGGAGGGGTTGGACAGTGTAAGATTTGACAAAATAACAATAATTTATAAATCATCAAGGGTCCATGAAGAAGGGGGAAAGCGGGGAGGGAGGGAAAAATGAGGAGCTGATTCCAAGGGCCCAAGTGGAAAGCAAATGTTTTGAGAATGATGGGGGCAACAGATGTACAAATGTGCTTGACACACAATGGATGTGTGTATGTATGGATTGTGATAAGAGTTGTACAAGCCCCCAATAAAAATGATTTGAAAAAAAATAGAAGGCTTGTTTTTCGTTTCTATTTCTGCTCTCTGAGTGACATGGGGGAGACCTTGCATGGAACTGAAGGAGCTCAGCAGTAACGGTCTTCTGTCCTGAGCCTGTGTTGCTCCACCACCTTCAGCAGCAAAATCTGGAAAGAATCAGGATGACCTGTCCTGCCCCCAAATCTAAAACTGGTTCAGAACCACTATACACAACATATGTCTAACCCTTCCAGTAAAACAATTATACGTCTATATACATGCATCCAATTTGTATTCCCTATAAGTGACCTTGGAAAATATTCTTGCTACCTTGAGTTTATTTAGGACACAAATGTCTGTGTTCTGTCGCATATGTTGTTTGTGAAAGGTTATTGGTGTCCTCCCACATAAATAAAGTCTGAAGGAATCCCAACTTCTTGGTTTTAAAGTTTCCCTGCAGACTCATTCTCTAAGTGTATACCAGAAGAGGCATTTGGGGGAAACTAGCTGAGTCTCAGGCCTTAAAACTTGATCCCTTGAAATGATGTCTTTCTCAGCTTACAACTATCAGTCTCTGTGTCTGAGACAGAAACCTAAACTATGCATTTCAACATGTCCAATTTCCTCAACTGTGAGACTAGTTTTTCACATCTCCTTCCAAGTTCCCAATATTTACACCCAGAATTCTTTCTTGATTTTCCTCTGAAATTATAACTCATAACACAAATGTGTTGTGACTACAAATGAAACTGTCTTTTTTTTCTAAGTATTTTTTATTTTCTGTTCATGTTGAGAACATACACAGCAAAGCATACACCAATGCAACAGTGACGGGGTGTAGAATTTATTGACAGTTATGATGTCCTTGAAGTTTCGCAACGATTCTCACCCTCATCTTCTTTTTTTCACTCAAAGACTTTTTGTCGGTGTGACTACAGCTATCGTATCATTCCATAGTCTATCACCTTGAGCAGGTCTGTGCAGTTACTACCACAATCTGTTTCCAAACATTCTTTTTCTTCCTGCGCTCCTTTACCTCTGCTTCCTTTTATCCACCTGCCCACTCCCACCCCGACTGTACCCACCTCCTCTCGACCAACAGAGTCCCT